GGGGGGGGGGGGGGGGGGGGGGGGAGTAGGATTACTTTATGACGCGAAGAATAGATAAAGAGGATGGATTGGTAACTCCCATATAGTGGGTCGTTGGCATTTGTAAACACTTGAGCTGGGGTAGGATGACTTTGGCACAGTCTGTGCTCACCAACTTGCCTAATTATTATGGGGTGTGGGGGGGATTAATAGACTTTGGAGCCACTCCTACGTAATGGGCAGATAAAATTTTCTTGTGGAGGAGCATCTGTTGGACTGGACTATATTGCTTTAGGAAGCTAAGAATAGATAGAGAGGGTGGATTTGTAACTCTCATATATGGGTCTCAGGCATGTTTAAACAGGACTTCGATATCGAAAAAAATAAATTATATAGTTAGTTTTTAGATCTAGATGGTATGTTGCATCATTTAGGAAACTATCGAGATGGTATGCTGCATCATTTGGGAACTTTGGGGATGTTTATCTCATCCATTTATTGTACTATATTGCTTTTATCTCAAATGTTATTTATCTTTCTGATATTAGAACTATTGGTTACATGGTCGCTTGTGCATTTTAAAAATGCAATTCAAGGGCCTCTGCTAGTTGTGTAGAGCACGTGTGATAATCTTTTGCTTTAATTTTATCACCTATTTTTGTAAAGGGAATTTATTGTCCCATTTATGGCCATGTATTGCTTTGTTTGAGCTCATTTTTAAATTATTTGACAGGTTGAAAAGCAGGAATTTGGATTGAAACCAATGAATTGTCCCGGTCACTGTTTGATGTTCCAGCATAGAGTACGTTCATATAGGGGTAAGTTCATGTATATTCTTGCAAATGTGTAAGGCTGTTATTAGTATTCTTTTAAAACTCTCCTAGCCAGTGCGTAATGGACAGTTGAATGAGCACCCCCTTCAAATAGCGACAGTTGAATTAGCACACACTTCAAATAGGGACAGTTGAATTATAACACACTTCAAATAGCCAGTCTATTAATAGGGTTTATGGAGCTATTAGCTTAGCCTTACTCTTTTGGATTAGGATCCTTTTTTGTAATTGGGCGTGGGAGTTGCTGTTTTTTGGGTTCATTGTTTGGTACCTTTTTATATCATTGCATCCTTCTCAATCAGTGAAAGCTTGATTTCTTATATAAAAAAGCATACTTCCAATCTTTGCATTCTTGTTATGTTACTGTGAATTAAATCCTTTACCTTCTTTATTTATTCTTGGATACTTTCTATCAGTTGCTTCATCTTTTTCATGGTTTTTTGTTACTCTGCAGAACTTCCTCTTCGATTGGCAGATTTTGGGGTTTTACATCGTAATGAGGCCAGTGGGGCATTGACTGGATTGACTCGTGTGAGAAGATTTCAACAGGTATTTTTAGATCTTGGTTTTTATATTGAACTCATATTGTATCATCTATATTTTGTGATATTGTATTTGTACCGTTCTCTACCTTGGTCCGTTAATTTTGTCAGTATTTGTATCGTACATCGTCTACTTCTTAAGTTCACTCCAAATATTTTGCAGGATGATGCTCACATCTTTTGCAGGGAGTCCCAGGTTTGCATAACTTAATTGATATGCTGACAAGTGTTGCTTCTGGACTACTAAGATTCACTTCTCTTTTACGTTGTTGCTTTGTGTTCATTTTATAGATAAAAGATGAAGTAAGGGGTGTCCTAGAGTTCATCAAATATGCTTATAACATTTTTGGGTTCACATTTGAGTTGAAGCTATCAACGGTATGTTATTTTTCATGATTATTTGTTTGAAGAGCATTGATGGAATTATTTTTCTATTTCCGTGTGCAACTGGCCACAATGCATTATTTTTAATAATTAAGAATTTATTTATTATCACTGTCACTTGATTTGAATTCCAGCAGCGTTGCTGCATTTTTTTTGTTAGTTAGGACGCTTTATATTCATTCTCAATCATTCTTCTTTTGATTAAATTTGTGTCCTAATAAGTTATTGTAGTTTCTTTTGTAACCCAGAACTAAATTATCTTAGAAATGTTGACTTCTTTTGTTTCGTATTTGAAATAATACTGTTTTTAATACCCATGTTAACTTTTTGGTTATTAAAAACATGAAAGCTTTTGCTTTAACACAGCAAATCCCAGTTGTTGGTTTTCTGTACAAATTTTAAAGTGCCGTTTCTTTGCCCTCTTTTCTACACTAGCTTCTTGCACCTTCGTAGAGAATAGGGCTCTAGTTTACAAATTTGTACCCAACCAGTGTAAGAGCACTGGAAAGGGATACATTGAGAGTATTAGTAGGATACTAGTTAGGGGTCTACTGGTAATTAGTAGTTAGGGATCTGAGTTATAAATAAAGGGGAGAGTTTTTGGACGTGGATCATTTTGAAGAGTGTCCATTGTGGGACTTGAGAAAGATATCCCTCTTCAAAGGCTATTGATATAGTAATTTCTTCATTGATATTGTGATATAATTAGACTAAAAAAGGATTAGAAGAGGGTGGAAGCTATTGAAGGGGATATTGTTGAGATTAAAGGCATGCGGCAAACAATGGCCCAAAGGATCAAGCGATTGGCAGTGGAAATGCGTGAGAGTTCGAGTTTTAGTTCAGCCTGAGTGTTGGTGACAATTATGTCGGAAGATTT